AAAAAAATGAAAGTTAATAATGAAGTACCCTCATTTCTTATTGGATTCTTAAAAAACAATATTTATAATGAATTTTAATAATTTTTTCGGATTTTTTTTAAGCTTTAATCCGACCGATTCAGCCGATCCCGATCCGGGTCGCCGATTCGTAGATTCGGATCGGTTTTTGAGGTGCCCGATCGGGCACCTCAAAAACATGGTCCTCCACATACCATAGGTACTAATACCAAAAAAACTAAGGGGTGCGGTTTGTATAGAGCCTACGTTCTAGACAATCAAATTAGAGCCTACTTTTCAAATAGTGTAAAAAAATGTGGTTTCCATATTGGAAATCTTTTTGATAGCCTTAATATTTTCATCTTTATTTATAAAGTTTAAAGCTTCAAAACTAGTGTAGATCGATAGATTTATAAAAACTTGAAAGTACTGAAAATTGACGATCCAAAATTACGTTACAAAATACACTTTACAAACTTGAAATCCATTTTTTTTCTTATCTCCGTGCATCTTGATCTCAAGATAATCAATTTCAGGGTATTTGAACATCAAAACAACCTCTTATAATGAAATTTTTGAGGAAGGCTCTAATTTGATTGTTTAGAGCCTTGGTTCTATACGAACTTTTTCCAAAAAATAACAATATAAAAATATAATGAAAAAAAAAATTAATATCAATGAACAACTTGCTTGGTTTGTCATTAAATCACACGGGCACTCAAGGTTTTATACCGAATCCTATATACTGAGCCATCAAGTGACATACAAACTTGAGAGTTCCTTTTTAGTACATATTTTTTCATCATTTTCTATCTTTTTTCTTAATAGGTTAATCTCCTTGCACAAATAACATATAACTTTGTAGGTCTCACATTAATGGTATATAGGAGTTGGGATCAGTGTAACCTTTGCCTTAATTCCTTTAAAGGCAGCCAATTAGGATTAACTGAGTTTTCATCAAATGGTTAGTGTAGCTAAATCTATCATTGTCTACTAATGACTTCCATAATCCCAATTCAATGTTGAGATAATTTAATGACGGGCACCATCATGATATAGAGGAAGAACGATACTTTAATTTTGATATTTGGTTGTATTTTAATAGCTGTGCGTTTTGTTTTGGACCAAGCATTTATATCTATAACAATTATATGTTTTTTTTAGGGGTGCCGTTTGTGTAGAGCCTAGGCTCTAAACAATTAAATTTGAGCCTACCTCCAAATAGTGTTGAGAAATCAATACTCAAAATCTTTGTGATAGCCTTAACATGTAATTTCATATTTATTTATAAAGTTTAAAGATTTAAAAATAGTGTAGATCGATAGATCTATAACACTGGAAAATCTTAAAAACTAATGGTCCAAAAATACATTACAAAATACACTATTTCCATAGCTTGAAATCCATTTTTTTTTTTTTCTCATGTCCATGCAACTTGATCTCGAGATGATCAAACCGCTGTAGGAAATTTTGGGCGGTTCAAATTCTAACTAACAAGTTGGATGGGAATCGGCTACTGATTGATTCCAATTTGAGTGAAACAGTTGTGTATTTTATTTTTTAAATTATATAAAATGTATAAAATAAAGGATTTTGTTTGTAATATATTTTTTAATGTTTTTATCATTTTGGCAACTATTGGGAATTATTTTGGCCTTTACAGCTCATTTTTACATTTTTTCCATTTTTTTAAAAATTCAAAAGTATAGACACAAATCATTTATTTAGAATCATTTTTCTTTAATTTTTAACTTTATTTGGATATGCTTTGAATCGCGTTTTAAATATATTTTTTATATTGAGAAAATATCTTCATGCACCTTAATTTGATGTAAGATTTCTCAATAGACCCGTGACTCTGAAATGTATCTCGCTGTATCAACTTTCTTAAAAATCTTTTTACTAACCCTTTAGACCCAAAAAATCATGTTTTATACAATATTTACATCCCAAACAAATTTTAAAATAACATTATCGTTCTCACCATGGCTTTTTACTTTTCCCTCTTTCACTCTCTCTCTTTCTAGGTTTTATCTTTTTCCTTTGCATAACTCTCCCTTAACCAGCAGCCAAAAGGCTTTGGCTCTCTCTTTCTCACTCCCTCTGCCCTAAACCCCTCTCGTATTTTTGAAAGGTAGAAGCGTAGAAGTGAGGAGAGGTTTGTTGGTGATTGGATGGGATAGGCGAAGGGCCGAACATAATTCAGGTTAAAAAGAGAAGGGGTCGTTCTTCCATGGCTCGATGGATTCATCTGGGTACGGATCTATTTTGGGCTCTCATTTGCTCGTCCACAAATGTGTACCTTGAGTGCCCAATTTAACCATTAATCGACCGGTTAGATCGGAATCGACCAGTGGTGGGTTTCGGTTTTGAGCGGTTATGGTGATCAACTGGCATTTTAAAAAATAAATTTCAAAAAAATGTATGTATTTTTTAAAAAATAAAGAATTTTATTTGTAATGCATTTTTAAATAGTTTTTACATTATAGTAAATATTAAAAATTGTTTTGGTCATTAATACTCACTTTTATATTTTTCCATCTTTTTTAGAAAATTTTGAAAATAGCCATTGAAAAATATAAAATGGTTTAAAATCCATTATTTTTTCATTAATTTTCAACTTCAATATGAATGTGTTTTGTTTTAATCATTCTTTATCTGCTTTTAATATTTTAGTAGATTTTTTTTGTATTTTATTTTTTTATTTTTTACAATATTTTTTTGACCGTCCGAAACTTGCTCTATTAGAACGCTTGAATCGGCCAGTTTACCGATTAGACCGATTAAACCACATCTAAGCCCATATTCAATTAACCGTTCTAGTTTGATTTTACAAGCACCGGTACTTGTACATTCGAGAGAGAAATCAGCTAAAGATATGATGGTAATTTAATAATGATGCAAACCAGTTTTTATTACAAAAGCTCCTCTGATAGCATGTAGGTTTTGGATTTGACTTGTATAGCCACTATTGACGAATTTATAAAGCATAATACATGTACATCTTTCACGTTAATGTTAAAAAAAAGAAGTACATCTTTCGAGTTAATGTTAAAAAACAAAAGAATAAGAAAGAGAAGAAGAAGTCCGTTGGTCATTCTTTTAAAAATCATGGATATTTTTTCATATTTGGGAAGTTGAGGGAGCTTCCATCTTGAATAGGCCCATTGTCTTTGCTTTGGAAATCATGGGAGGCTGCTTCCTTGCTCTGCTGAAATTCATTGGTCCTTTGGCTCAGTGCAACTTCCCTAAATTCGCAATCGAAGAGGACTGCGTATCTAAGATATTTGCAGACTCAATAAGGAAGGTGGTCACAGGGGGATGCATTGCAGCAGAGCAAAACCTAATTCTCAACCAGGAGCTGCTGCTTGAGTATGTGGATTGGTTTGCTTCTTGGGAGCAAAAAAATCCAACTTTGCACTTCTTCAAAGGACCCCAGTAAAAGGTTGAGAATTAGCGAATCATAAAACCAAAGGGAGAGAAAGAGTGATGGTCAGGCAAAAGAGGATAGTGCGAGAGAAATATGGTTCGTGTTATTTTAAAATTTGTTTGGGACGAAAATATAAAATAAAAATGTGATTCAATGACTTTAAAGGGTTAGGAGAAAAGCTTTCTAAAATTTTTATACGATTGACATAATTTATAGAAAATTACAAAAAACCTAAAGACCACACTTTTTATTCAACTTACCCCTTTTAATTTTTTATCTCATTTTTTCCCCCAAAACAAACTGTTTATGCAAATACCCCGAAGGAAAAAAGTCCATTTTTTAGATGGAATTGCCCTTCCAAGTATACAAAAATCATTTTGGCTAGATTTGACGTTGACTTTTGGACTCGAGTAGTACATTATCGGAGTGCATAAGTGCTGGACTACCTTAAGACAACTATGGGATAGAAACTGAGTACTGTCGGACCGTTATTTACATAATGTCGGAGTCTTGGAATCCAATAACATCTACTGTTGGACCACCATTTTCAACTGTTGGACTACACTTTATACACTACCGGAGCCCTACTACCCGATCACATTTTACATAGTATCGCAGCCCTACTGCCGGACTGCACTTCCACAGTGTCGGAGCCCCTACACAGTACCGAAACCCTACTATCGGACCGCACTGTACATAGTGTCGGAGCCCTACTGTCGGACCGCACTTACACAGTGCGGGAGCCCCTATTTTGGGGGTATTTGCATAGCAACTATATTTTGGGGAAAAAATTGAAAGAAAAGATTAGGTTGGAGGTCAATTGCATAAAAAGAAAACGTATAGTATATTCTTGGATTTTTTTTTTAATTTTACTTATGGAAAAAGTTTATATAGAGCCGATGCTCTAAACAATCAAATTTGAGCCTATCTCAAGAATTCACTAGAAGAGGTTGTTTTGGTGTTCAAATATCTTCAAATTGATCATCTCGACATCAAGAAGCATGGCCTCGAGAAAAAAATAGATTCAAGTTTTGAAAATAGCGTATTTTGTAACACATTTTTGGACCGTTAATTTTCAAGTTTTCATAAATCTGATGATCTACACTATTTTTTAAGCTTTAAACTGTATAAATAAATATAAAAAAAATTTAAGGCTATCACAAAGATTTCCTATATTGAAACTACATTTTTCGATAATATTTGAAAGTAGGCTCTAATTTGATTGTTTAGAGCCTAGGGCCTGTTCAAACCGCACCCTATTCTAAATGTGTGGGTCTGCAAATCATAGGGTACTCGAAGATATTTTATTTTTATATTTTTTAACACCTTTTTTTATAGTTCGGGACTTGCAACGTTAAGCGGGTTGAACCGGCTCCTTTTCGTTGAACCTCTCCTCTCTCTATCTGAAACTGCCTGTTCACCTGGTTCTCACTGAGCGCGGTTTGGTGATGCCTCTGGTCTTTGCATATCTTTAGAAGGTTTTAGAGGGGTCATGAGAAACAAAATGAAAGTGATCTATTCAATCCCTTCTGAGGATTTTCCCCATTTTCCCGGTCACCCAAAAAGGAAGGGAACGGAAGAGAAGAGAAGAGAAGAGAAGAGAGAGAAAGAGGAAAGAGAGAGAAGAATGTCTGGTTTCGTGGACCAATGGATGATCAAGTTTCAGAAGCTTAAAGAGAAAGGGCAGGGCCTCTTTTCTAGGAGCTCAAGCCGCGTCGAGAGTAAAGAATCGGAAGCCAAAAACCGATTCAACTCGAGGCAGAGAAAACGGCGGCCCTAAGTTTTCACTCCCCTCCTCGTATGGAATCGAGCCATAAGGCGTTGGGCTCGGCGCACAGGGAGAGAGAAAAGGCATGGGGGTTCTCTCTCCCCTACCCTGTTTATTCTCCTTCTCGCGCTATCACAGGGATTTCTTCCCCTCCCTCTCTCCTTTCATCACTGCCATGGAAGCAGATGCGTCAAGGTAAGCAGTGCAGGAGGGGTAGAGGAGGAGAAGAATACGCAGGAGGACTTCACAACGGACGAGGATGAGAGTGCACAGGGCAGCAGCTCCCATGAAACTGATGAGGATGAGAGTACACAGGGCAGCAGCTTCCATGAAACTCCTTTACATTATGACAATGATGACTGCCACGATTATTCATTGTTTGGATCGGTGGATTACAACACAGACAAGGACGAGGAGGAGGAACGCCTTTTCAAGGAGCAGGTCTCCATTCCCAACCTTTTGGTTTTTTGCCGATTGGATTGCGTGGTTTCCCTCCGTAATTATATTGAATATGTGTCTCTCCCTTCCTGAATGCTTCCCTCCTTTACTTTCTCTTTTATTTTCTCGTTGATCAAATTTACTTCTTTCTGAAATGCTCTTTCTCTTCTTTTTGGGACGGGACTCGATCCTATTCAAATTGGGGGTTTGTTTTTTTATTTCTCTTCGTAGTATTTGATTTTAAGTTGGTGTTTGAATGATTCTTCTCTTTTTTGCTTTTTAGATGATGAAGTCCGTACTGTTTGTGGTTCTTTTTTATCCCAATTTATTCATGTTGATTCTCTTGCACTCTCCTGGTTTCAGAGGCAAAGAGAATTTTTGAAACTCAAGGATTTTTCTTGTCATTTTGGGAAATAGTTTAGTGAAATTGTACCTCGTGATCTCCCATTTCAACAGATCTTGAAGGAATGCTCACTTGCTGAACTTATTGATGTGAGTATCAATGCTATCAAGGGTGCTATTTCTCCTGTCGTTCTCAGTCTTCATATGGTCTACAGACTGTTTATAACTTTATATTTTATTTTATATTTACTCTTTTCTATGGGTATGTACTCTGAAATGCTCTCGTTATGCGATTCTATCCATGTGTTCCTTTTTTTTGCTTCTCTGAGATGGCAATGGTGGCCATAGACATGCTTTGTTGATGTGTGGTTGATTCTGTAGGGGGCTCTAGATTTTTGCAGTTATTTTGGTCGGTTGTACTTTGATTGTCCAACATTTATACACCTAGAAAAGCCAGAGATGATCGAGAACAGGGATTCGGAAATCTGGAATTGAGATCCCCTGTTTGTAGTCATTCAGGTCATAGGAATCACAATCATTGTACCAAATGTAGTTTGATCACTATGAACAATATATAGTGATTGTCTTCACCACAAACTAATTGTAGATACTTTTAGCTATCTGATCAATGAGATCATTATTGCCCTAGGCCATTGTCTATCTCGGTTGAGATGAGGAAACACCTGGATAAGTGCTGTTACTGGAATCGTGTTTGTTGCATGTGGTTTCACCACCTAACCAATGAGATCCTTATTGCATGATACCCAGAACGGTTAAATAAGTTCCTATCACACTCTGCTGTCTGGACGGAAATTTTGGAATCTCATTACCAACTCTTTTCCCTAATTGGATTTGGGTCATGGATGTGGAGTATGATGGGAGCATTGGAGCCTTCTCGTTTGACTAAGTGGCTTCAAACCCCTCACCATGATTGGTTGCCCGAAAAGATAACTAAGATCTGTGCTACTCCCACCCCCCCCAAACAGTGTCTTAGACATTCCTTTGAAGAAAGAAGAAACGCAACTAAGGGAAGCACTAAAGCTACATTTCCTCATCTCATTTCATCATATCTCGAAAGAACAAGATAAGTCAAATTTTCATTGTAAATGAGTGTAACATGTTGGCAACATAGAGGACCTTCCATATGTGACATAACCATTGTACTTCTAGTTGGGCTATGGTGATTGGCTCATGGTATTTACAATCTTAGACCATTAATACTATGTGATGGGACCCTTAAAATCCGGGTGGCTTGATCAAAAATGAAAAAAAGGAAAAGGCTATCCATAAGAATAAGGAAACCTTGAATAACTTAATTAAGGTTGGCATAGAACTAGAAATTTGGAAAATTGATAAAATGGATACAGATCCCAAAAAGGTATTTGAATTCAGTTCTTTATCGCCCCAAATGGACATATGGATGTCTTACAATCTGGAAGTGTTATGCATCAAGTATCCACTCTTCTTGACCCAAGTCTGTAATTCGTTTCTTGAATGGGCGAACATATTGCTGTTCCTACTGATCCTTCAACAATTTATTTTGGGGCTCTGTCATTTAAGAGTTTGGTCACTAGGCGTGATGTATATTTTGATGTATTTACCTCAAACGCCACTCTTCCACGAATTCATTGCATAATTTGGATGTGCACTCCTCCCCTTGTTGAGGACTTTTATTGTCCTCAGTATTCAGTAACACTTTTGGTTAGGACTTTTGTTGAGGCTATTAATTACTATATTATTCAGTAACACTGTTAGGCTATTTTGATTCGAACTAGATATAGTCTTGGATAATTGTAGGTTCACCTTAGTGTAGGATATTTGGGACGCTACACCTTGAATTCGACCCGAAGCAGTGACTTTGAATCAAGATCCTTTATTAATGTGAAACTCCCATTGCTTGTTCCATAGTTGATGAAGGCATCATGGCCTTCTATAGTTCCATTTTAAATTTAATTTTTTATTTGGGCTTTTTGTTTTTTATTAAATTTTTTGGCGAGTGAAAGTATATTTATTTGGGCTTTTAATTTATTTTAGTTATGTTGTCGTTTGGGTGCTCCAGAGAATTCAACGGCAGTTTGTTCATTTTATTAGTTTATTTCAGTTAAATGTATTTTAGGTTACTTTAAGTATGTGTAAAAAGTGGAGGGAGGGAGAGGGACGTCCATCCCCACAGGATGAGGATGTTTTATTTTGAGATCTTTGAGAAAGTAAAACCATGGAAAGGGCTTCGAACTGTTTGATTGGAGAGGGACGTCCTTCCCTTCTGTCTTATTTTTTCTTTGATTTTTTTTAACATTCTTTGCTATTGATTTTCACTTTCTCCCATATTTTCCTAATTCTTTCTTCAATTTTTTGTTATTATAATAACCCTCCGATCGAGTAAACATTCCTTGTTGAAAATCAATTAAAACCTTAAAATTAACCCATAGGTTATCCTTAGAATTCTATATCTATAATCCATTGAAATTTAACCTTAATTTGCCATCTAGAATCAGAACCCTAATTTTTTACACCTCGTTAATTTTTCAAAACCTTTGAACTAATTAATGGCAACTTCTGGAATTAATTTGAAGTTATTTCACACCAACTTCTTTTCTCCAGGCTGTAGGTTAGCTTTAAAATTGACCGTGTTCAATTTTTTGTATTAGGATAGATTCCAATCCATTATGGATTCGTAATATCATCTGCTGGACTCTGAAACAAATTCTTAAAATTTAATACTGATTTACACAATTTTGGTTTTCAATTACCTATTGAAATTGAAGATATTTGACCTTATTTGAATTCAATGCGTACATCAACTTGGTACAAGAGCAAGTTCTAGGGCTAGAGGTCAATCTTTAAATTATTTAGGGTATGTCCCAGAGTTTTAAGGTGTCCATTAGGTCTTTAGGGTCGTCTCTCTGCTGCTATACTCCTTTTATGCTGTCTTGCTTTGTGATGTAGCCTTCTATTCTAAGGTCAATAGGGAGTTTGTGAGGTTTTTTTTATTGCCATCCTAGTGTTCCCAAGTTTGGAACTTTGTTCAAGTGGCTGCCTGGAGGCTAGGAAGTGGCCTTCCTTAGGTCTAGGAAAGTTCTATAGTAAGGTTAGATGAGTTCACAGCCATGGCAGGCGAAGGCATTGTGAACCAGGGTCTTGGTCGAGGTATGGCGTGTGGACAAGACCATGGGCGTGGTTAAGTAAGGAGTAGTTGGCAAAAATCCATCCTACAAAGACTTGTTCAATGATATGAAGCCCTCCAGCAGATTAGGGAGTAGTTGGCATAAATCTTGCAAACTCTAGTGTTAGGATGATGTTTTCTATTGACCCTCCGTGGAAATCATGTAAAGATGCTAATGTGTTGGTTCTGAGGGAACCAAACACTAGAAGAGGAGGAATAGGGAGAGTATGAGGATAATTCTTATGAGAATCCTAAGCAACTTGGAAAAGAGCGGTTCAAGGGTAAATTGGTTAGAGTGCAAATTGAGGAGAGTAAAGTGACGTACCTCATATGGCTAAAGAAGAGGAGAGTCCATTGATTATATAAGAGGTTCTGGAGGAATTTAGGGAGCACACTGCGAGAACATCATACTTGAGTGGCGTTGCCAGGGTCTTGCCATTTATTTTTGTTAGGCTGAGGCTATAGAGGAGAGGTTTTTCTAGCCTAGGTTGAGGTGCTAAGCGAAGTGATATGTAGATCATACTTTGCTTCTAAGGTTTTAAAAGGCCAGTCTAAGAATACCAACCCTCAATGCATACCATTTTTAGGAGATTCTCCCCCTTTCCTTCCACCCCATAACTTCTTCCTCACACCAGCCCTAAATATTACCCCTCAGGTAAGCACCAGATGTCGTCAAATACTCATCACACCACTCCTTTTCCATAGCCACACCTATTACAGTCTCCAACAGCTTAGAGACAAGAGGGGAGGGAAAGGTGGGTTTGAACTCGGACATCCAATCCTCGGTATTACTTTACCTGCAAGAGCTCTGATGCATTCACAGAGGTGCAGTGGTCCAAAAACAAACTAGTATTCCCATACTGGCATGATGCTGTTCCGATTAGTAGAAGAACAAGTTTGTTGCCCTTAAGAGAGCCTTGAACGAGATAAATCTTTGTGATTTGCTTTTTCACTTTTCAGCATTGTTTTTCTTTCCATTTTATTTCTTACTGACCTCATTTTTATGCTATAGAATCTTTGGGATTAGACTCCAAACCGAAGCGATGCATGCCCTGATATTTTGAAATCGGCATTTTATTACAAATATTATAGATTTTTGCTTGGATCTGCTATAATTCCATTTGCTGGCTAAAATGGAGAGGTCTCCAATGCGAATCTGATAACTCTGGTTGAAACCACATCACTATTTACTGACAGTGCTAACATTCTTATTGCTTGTAACTTATGCACAAATGTACTTTCCTTTATTACTTTGAAATGTAGCCTGATTCTTATTAGAATAGGTTTCCGCTGATGCGTACTCTCTTGCATGAATGGAGATTGGAGCGTGAGACATGTTTTAGAATCCATTGGAAGTTAACGAGAAGGTGCTGCCATATATAATTTTTCTTTCTAGCATTCACACTAGATTCAATATAAATTTTCACATGAAATGTAACATTTTCTCTAGTATTCGTACCAGATAATCTTTTATATAATCTTATGATGTGTCCATGATAAGATTTACTGATGATAATCTAGTATTGTGAATGAACTTTCAGACAGCACTTTATTTACTTGTAAAATTTGCATGAACAACTACTTATACAAAATGTGAAAAATAAAGAAAGCAATAGGTAAAATGAAAATTGTTAGTTCATCAAAATGTAAGAAAGAAAATTGCGAGTATGATAAATGTGATGATTTTGTACATGAGATTCATGAATTGAATGTGAATGCATATACCCAGAATAGGAGTGCACCAGTCCCTTTTGCATTCTTGTTAGTGTATTTGTCACTGCAAAAAATTGAGTATGATAAATGTGATGATTTTGTACATGAGATTCATGAATTGAATGTGAATGCATATAGCAAGAATAGGAGTGCACCAGTCCCTTTTTCATTCTTGTTAGTGGATTCGTCACTGCAAGATTCTCTCATCTATGTTTGGTGGGATAAGAAATGTTGCTGATCTTCTTCCAAGTCATGATGGAAAGGGACCATACCCAGTGGAGGAAAGCAACAATTACAAGGACTTCCACATGATTTTGGCTGCATATTCTGACTGAGCTCCTTCCACTCTTCAAAATTTAATGATTCATATGACTGACCCTACATGAGAACGAAGAGATTACTAAGAAAAAGTTAACTCATTCATAAAAACCAACAATTAGCTAAATTATACTCAAACAACCTGTGCAGCATCCTGTAGAGGACCCCAACACTCTACACGGTTGTACTCCTTCAAATTGGAGTGGAAGTAGACCCAAACCAGAGACCTCTTTAACTCTGGATGCTTCTTGAAAAGTACACCATCCCCATAAATCAATGCTTTTAAAACCTACCAAAGGATCACAATCAGAACAAGGGTCTTAGAGGTTTTTTGTTTTTTTTTTTTCAAATAATCAAAGCCAAACCAACATAAGGTGACAGGTGAAATGTGTTATTCGATCAAAACTGTTTGAAGGATGAAGTATAGGGAATTCCCAAGAAACATCCAGTATTTTGGTGACCCCTGGTCACATGGATGTAATTAAAACACTACAAAGTAGTGCTTATAGTGAGTTGTCAGTTGTAACACTCGAGGAGGTCCTTGCTGTGAGAGACATTTCACATTTGATCGAATTTTTGGGGTAAATTGAAATTTAATTAGTTACAGTAGAAATTTGTTGAATTCAACGTAATTAAGAGCATGAAAACTATTAGTCTATATGAACTTCTAAATGCATACATGCCTACATAGACCCTCAGCCATATATCTACTTATCCAATCCCCACCTGACCTAGTGGTGTGGGACACATGCAATGATCTATCCATCTATGAGATCTATCCATCTCACACAAGCCAGTAACCACCATGGAAATTCGAGATGGTTAAGGGTTGCCTTCCACTTTAAATGTACTTCGGCATGAAAGAAAATCGCTTAATGGGAAAGGTTTTGAAAACATTAGGGTCAATTGAAGCCGACGTAATTCCAGTGATATGAAACTAAAAAAATAATGCTAGAGATAGAAAAATAAGACATGCAGAAGGAAATAAACAAAGGTTAAAAAAGAACAGCAGTCATTACATATAATTAAATGTCATTATGTCTGTAATGAACCCAACAAATTATGATATATAAAGAAATTTAAATAAGTATGAAGTCATATATTTCATTCTGTTCTCTATTCTGTGGATTAAAAGTCACTCATCTAGCTAGGAAATATTTATAAAGGATTAAGGACATAATTTGGTGAAATTAATAATTTACCAATGGAAGCTCCTTTTGGAAGATATGGAAACGCAATCCAGCCACGAGATTCAGTAAGAGATGTCCCCCACTTATGTGGCAGTGTACATGCAAAGACATCTTTCCTTGGACTTTCTTCCACTCAGCTATTACATAGTCCCTTTGTAGCTTATTATACCACCCTTGCAGCTACATAATATGAATCACAATTACATTAACTTCTAAGAACAGTGATCAACATGCAGTGAATAATCCTTTGACAAATATGATCCATCAAAAACTCTTGGAAAACTCATAAATTTACATGCTTTGTATGCTCAGCCAGAGAAGAGAATGTCATTTGTCACACCTATTGTAGAGTTTGTATCGCATTGATGTTCCCTCTAAAGGTCATAGGAACACTTCATGGCATACTGCAGAATATAATATAATCCATTCCATGAAGATGAAAGTGCAGGCGATAAGAAATCTTTGTAGACGCTCGATGATTTTCTTTACAAATTCAAGTGACACTTTTTTCTAATAAAATGATACAATGAATAGTACAAGTTCTTGAATGATATAAGCTCTGCAATTTCTACCTGATTCCTATTTATGGAATGAGAAATAGCTAGGTTTAGGTCTGCAGTTATGTCAGAGTGGGTAAGGGTATATGTTCTGGGGATGGTTCCTGGATGTTTCTCTTGATCTACACCTAAGAACACCACCTTCAACTTTGATGCTTCAAACTTAGGAGGTCCCGAGAACCTCACAGCCTGCATGCGAATTAAGAAATCATAATAAGCATCAAATCATTTAGAAAAGCTTGTGAAGCCTAGTTCACCTTTGTAATCACCATTTGCTAACGCAGTAAACCATAACATGCATACGTTGTTTCGCACTAACATTGAAGGCTCAAGTGTCTGTTGTGTTGAGTACAATTTCAAGAAGGGTGATAAATAACAATTTCCAAGAAATCATTGTGAAATGTCTGTGTTGTTTAATGATGCTCCTTCATGGATGGGGGATGGATTGAGTGATGTATGTGGATGCATTACAGTACAAAAACCTAGGGTTTTACTCTCTTCACTTGATTACTAGAGAGCAAGGGATGGAGCATAATATCAAAGTTCAAAATGGCCAATACAAAAGACGGAAGAGAATATGATTCCAATGAATAATGAAAGTATTGCCCAACAAGAGTTGACTCTTAAAAAATCTTCATATCTAAAAAGATATTAGCAGGGAAGCATGATAATTCAATGTGCAAAAGGTGATGGAACTCGAAAAAAAAAGTTTACATTATGAAGATTAAAATAAATAAAAAATAAAAAAGTCCATCATGTCAAAATATAGACAAACTAATTTCTAGAGAATTGTAAAAAAATACATGAAATAATTACTGCAAAATTATGTCACAAAATGTAACCCTCTTAACACCTGACACGGCGGGTGAAAATATCAATAAAGTCATTATGCCTAAAGTAAACTCTTCCTTGAGCAATCCTAGAAGAGGCTATGGAGGGTTGTGTCAATATGCTGAGAACTGACTGCAACAATGTTCCTTGAATGCAAGGCAAGTTGTTGAAGAGGGATCAGGTGTGAAGATGTTAGGGCAAGTTGTTGAAGAGCGATCAGGTTTCAAAAGTTAATTTTTTTGGTTGATCCACTCAAAAAAAGATAGTGAACTGTGTTAAGGATTAATTAAAAAAGTTGATTTTTGGAAATTAACTACCTTGCAGTTTCTTCTTCTTGTTCTTCATTTTCTTTTTTTGTGTTCTTTTTTTCTTTTTCTTTTTTTTCTTTAGAAGGTCAATTGAAGACCACGAGAATAATAGAACTTCAAACGTCATTTTGTAACACCCTGCTACACTGACCACCTAGACCTAGAGGTCATTCCTACATTCCCAGCACTTTGCGGCATTGGTAAGGCAGTGTCTTAAAGCCTTGATTTTGTATACAATGGAAGCAAGAATTGAATGTGTAACTCTGATGCATTTCAAGTGGAATTTGTTCCAGAAACCTCGAGCCAATGCCCTTTGTAACTCTGATGCATCTCAAGTTGAATTTGTTCCAAAAACCTCGAGCCAATGCCCTTTCGCTTATGGGCCTTATGAGCTGGGTGATATCTGTAGTGTGGTGGATCGCATGATCTATCATTATTTAGCCATTCAAGTGGCTCTATGGTGCCCTACTGCTATTCTGAAAAAAATATGGCTTGTTTTTTATGTGGGACTATGACTAGCTCATGGACAACTTTACATTTAAGAAAAAATCTCTTTCCCTTTGAACAAATTTGTTAAATATGTTGGCCTAGGCATGAGTCCTACCCAATTGGAACTTGAATTGGGGCAATGGCAGGCATGGATTTTAGTAGGTGATGAGAAGATCAGTACTGTAATCTCCAATGTTAAAGTGGTAGGCATCCTTTCCTTGTGAAGCATGTAATTATATTAGATGAACCTGGTTTACCCAAAGAAGCTTCTTTTTTGGACAAGTAATAACAAGCGTGCACCAGGAGGAGTTGATGTTCCTCGTTTCAAAGTTTGTAAAAGGATTTACGAATCTTATGCGAGCATACTGTGCATTTGCTCACACGGGTAAAACTCAGGATATTTATTGGACTCCAAATTTTGTTGATGTAGCCTCTAGAACCTAATAACTAACTCAAAAGAAAAAAAATATTAAATAGGACCCTTTATGTGTCTCAAAGAAATTAATGTCCTAAGATTGAATATGAACGCTCCAATTTTGGAGGTTAAGATCCAGGTGTTCATGAACTTAAAATCTTTTTCTTTTTTTTCTTGAAAAAAAACATTTAATGATAAATGGATTGCAAAATTTCAGATTAAAAAAAAAAATTTCTCCCAAATTACTCTTTTGCCTGAGGGAGTTGTTGCATTGTATGCCTCTGCGAGAACATGCAACGCGAGCTCTCCACGCAGATTATTGGTCAATGGATAGAGGCTATTGTGGGACCGGATAAATCGATAACCTCAGCTACATTTTTTTTAGGGTGTGGTTTCTATAAGGCTGGGGTCCCAAACAATCAAAGTAAGGTGCTCTTTTAAATAGTACTGAAAGAAGTTTCCATACTAAAACACTGATAGTGTGAAAATTCATATTCATCTCTAATTATAAAAATTTAAAGCTTAAAAAATAGTGTAGATTGAATAGATCTATGAGCACTTGGAAATTTTAGAAGTTGACAGTCTAAAAAAAGATTTAAAATCCATTTTTTTCATGTTCATAGATTACAAGGTCGAGATGATTGATATGAAGATTTTTTGGGTGTCAAAACAACCTACTTTAGTGGATTTTTGAGGTGCATTTTAATTTGATTGTTTAGGGCCTCACCTTTATATAAATTTTTTCCTTCTTTTGTCCAACTTTGGTAGATTTCTGTATACAATACTGTTCTCATAGGATTGTTGTTGGATTTGGGATAAGTGAAATAGGAGCACTAGATGAAATGATCAAGAATATATACATGAGAATTAGTGTGCAAGAAGACATGCTCAAGAATCATAGCGCAAGACAAACCATCAGTGTTCAACTATCAATGGACAAGATGATGTAATAATGCATAAAAAGTTACTGGAATTTTATTTTAAGGCACATTTGTTGGTACTTTTTCAAGATAAATATTTGCCACTTCTATGTGAGATGAGAGATTAGGGGAAAACTTACTATACTTGTTTATCAATATATATATTTTTCTTACATTCCCATATCACAGTACGATTTGAATGGATAGTTGGGATGGCTTCAGCCATAAGGTCATAAGGGAGCTACTTTGATTTAGATATGTAGTCTCAAAGTATTTTATTTTTAATTTTTTTGACAAATCATATGAATAAGAATTTTGGTATGTATCATCATCTCAATAGAGATCACCTAAACAATAAAACAAATTTATTTTAAAAAATAAAATAATCAAAATATCTCAAAACTTTCAAAAGTATTTTGATCATTTTATTTATCAAAAATATTTTTTATATTTTCATATGTGCGGTTTTAAGAGAGGAGTGGATGTCCCGATTTGGTATCAAACTATTTTTTAAAAATAAAAATAAAAAATGTATGGATATGACATTGTGATTGGGGCTATCTCAACCATCCATTCAAATCAAATAAATGGAAGATGAGGGATGCAGAAAATATATATATATATATATATATGGTAGAAAAGTAAGTAAGTTTTCCCTATTGTTTTGTTGGAATAGTTATTCTATTGACAAGTGTTTTACTTTTACATCGAGTGCATTGGTGCCCTGTCCAAAAACAAACAGATGTGTCGAGTGCATAGGTGCCCTGTCCAAAAACAAACAGATGTGGATGCTTATTATCACTTTTCTTTGAAGAGCCATGTCTTCTTATTCATAGAATGAGACCATTTATTTTTTAATAGAGAAGTCACAACCTTTTAAAGTTGTTGGACTTGAAATTCGGTGGCTAGGAATGTGTTATTGGTTGTGCACAATATTCAAGACAAAACTTCTCGAACTTTATGATTTGTGCTTAGCCTTTAATTTTAATCTAACCGCAAAGCTTTTAACGTAAAAAATACATTTTAATCTAACCGCAAAGCTTTCAACATAAAAAATAAATGGTCTCATGGTATTCAATCTCAAAGTTGATGATCACTTTATTAAACTAAATAAAGTTACCAAACAATGACTAACCACATTGAGATTTTGATTTTTTTATCCTACAAATCCAAAAAAATCTCAGTGGTCACTAATTTGGCACCATATGAACCATTGGAGCCATGTCCCAAGCCTGAATTCAACAAGTATGGTTCCGTCTTGTGTCAATAAGCGTAAGTTATTTTTTAACAGACTTATCTACATCCCTTGCTCTCTGGTCATCAAGTGAAGAAAGCACAGTTCTACACTTTTTAACAATAGAGCTTTGATGAGCGCTATAGTAAAACTGCTATAGACCGGTGTTAAACCTTGTGATTCACGATCTGGATTGTTGATTTAGATGGAGAATTAGCTAGGGCTAAACTAGTTCTAAGGCAGTATGGGTCCCGGCACGGTTTCTCCCTAAAATCCCATGTTTTATATTTTTTTTATTTTTTTGAATTTATCTAATGTCTTTTTAAATCTCATTTAACTTTCACTTCATAAACTCTTGTTTTAATTATTATTTTATTTTATTTATTTTTGATATTTTTTTTAAAAAAATAAATTATCAATTCAGACCAATTTCAACAGGCACATCACCATGTCATTCACCATCCCCTGTTTTGGGCGTCAAAGTCAATGAAATTGTGTAAACTTAAAAAGTAGCCGGATTTAGTCCCTTGGCTTTTAAAAACTAATTTGAAATTTTGGTATGCGCCCAACAATTATCATAGGATCATTTTAGAGAAAAAAAAAAAAGGTTAAATTTTAGGTTCTTCAACGTACAAATCTTCATCTTAAAAAATTGAACGGTCTGTATTCATCTTGCCCTTCAAAATTTGTGCGGACTCTATTTGTCCTTGTCCAAGACAGGGGCCAGTCACCTCCTCAGTAGCTCTGTTCCCTTCCTCTTTCCAAGCACTTCTCTCTCTCTCCTCTCGGCTCGGAGTGTTGCACACTTATTCCTTCTCACACGAAATCTTGTGGATTTTGAGGTCTGAAATTCGAAGTTCACTTTTTTTTTTATATTTTTGTAACTTTTTTGTCTTTTGTTTATCGACTATTTTATACGTGAAAGTATATAGAGATACAGTTTATTAAAGTCACCATCACTCTTGTCCGTCATATTTCAAGCAGTTACGAATGTGTCAACTCGAATTTTATAACACATCCCAAGCCATGAAATTTGAAAAATATTTTAGGTCAGTTGAGAGAGAGAATATTAAGATTATCTTTTTCTTTTTTTTGTTTTAAATGTTGAGTATTATTGAAGCTATATTACAAAAATATTGTAGTTCTTATAAGGATGAGGAGTCGAAGATTTTGGTTGGGAGTTTTGTTTAAATTGGGGGATTTATTCAACCTGTGGCTCGTTTTTTAATATCTCATCAAATTGCATCCAAACCAGGATGATACCCACTGTATAAGTGGATGATGCGCCAACAATTGAAATGAGAGGCGATAAACAATTCAAAAACAAAGTTTAAAAATAATTTAAATTTAGAAGTTGTAAATTTAACTTTAAATATTCCTTATAGTTGTGGTTGAGACGACCAAATTTTAGGTCCAAAATCCATTCTCTGACATGGTTTTTTAAGGAAATTGCACTTCAACAGGTCTACGAGGGGATGCACCAAAACCGTCTTCTTTATAAGTACGGACAAAAGTTTATACAAAGGGGATGCTACGAATTCACCTCAAAAATATTACTAGAAGAGGCTGTTGTGATGCCTAAATATCTTCAAATTGATCATCTTGATATCAAGATGCATGAATATACAAAAAAAAAAATATTTCAAGTTTTTGGAAATATTACATCTTGTAATGCATTTTGGATTGTCAATTTTCAAGATTTTATAGATATGTTGGATTTATACAAATTTTAAATTTTATAATTAAAAATAAAAATATATTTTAAGGCTACCACAAAAATTTTTAGTATTGAAACCACATTTTTCGACACTATTTGAAGGTACAATTTACTTCGATTGTTTAGAGCCTCGACTCAATACAGATCGCACCCAATAAGTACAGCTTCTTTGATTTTGATAGAGGGGCAAGATTGGAAAGTGCCCCTCCCACGATTTATGATACTCGATAACGTGTCTGACTCCAGATGTAGGGGAGGCCACAGGTGGCCTGCACCAGGTTCGGCCGATCCTTGCCCTGGTCTCTATAGGGCCAGCCCTGCCCTAGCCTACTTTCTTGCTAACATAGCCTAGGCCTAGCCAAGCCTTATCTTCAAGCCATTGCGGCCCTGCCCTAACCTGATCCCTCAATCCACATTTTGTGTACCAGGACCTAGTTAGGGTCGGGCTGACCAGCCTATTAGTGGCCCCATCATGATGGGCATTTTAAAATTAAACAACAAGAAAAGAATGAGGTGTTAAGTAGTTGATCTCTTTTAAGTTGTTTTCATTAACTTTGCTAAATTAGGAGCCATATAGCATACTCCAGGGGGATCATAAAATACAACAACTCCCTTGAGCAAAAAAGCTACTTGGAAGGATTTGTTTTTTATTCCAAAATCTTGATAACCAAGCATCACTATATGATTATTTTCAAAGAAAAAAGTTGGATTATGAATTCTTAAACATCTAGATATTTCCCTCAAAAAATTGGATAGCTCTTGTGCATTCTTAGGATGTCATTTTTTGAGGCACATAGAGAATGTGGGTGGTTAGTTTTCTTTCCCTTTGAGGTTTGATTCCTCAGTTCTGGAGATCACAACCCAAAATTTAGGATCTAAAAATTTTCCCAATATGATTTCTTCCCCAGGGAGTAGATGGACAATATACTCCCAGTAGGAGAATGAAATGTTTTGGCAATTATACTTTTTAAAACTGATGGAGCAAAAGACGGAAAGATGATAAGAGAGAGAGAGAGAGAGAGAGTACCCTAATTGGTGAAGATGATCGAATGAAGAAGGCCCTGTTGCATTTATTTGCAGAATGCAGAAATGGCCGCTTCTTGGGCATGGCTGCCGATATTCTGGTTGGTGTGGGCACAAAACAATCCATGTCTTTCTATAACTCAAAATGGCAGCAAAAAATGTGAGGAATAGGGAAATGTGGTGGTGCCAATAGGGTGGTGCAAGAACTAGCCATGGCTTCTGACTGGCATTGTTACAGAGAGAAAGAGTAGTGAGAGAGAGATAGAGTAGGAGAGTAAAATGATGAATGGGACTCGTGGTGGATGCAGTTTTGTGGATAAGGAACAATCGTGCGTGCCCCACAGAGACCATACGTTGCTCTCCTCCTTCGAAAAGTGTTCGGTGACTCACGTTATTCTTGTGCGGTCTCCCAACAAAATATATTTCAAAGTTTTATTTTCAGTCCAACATTTCCATTCTAGAGTTCAATGACCCCAACTATGACAGCGATGTAGCTTTCTTTGTCAAAAGATATAAATGTTAGTTTTTGAATTCCTTTCTTCACGGTCCATTTTAACCGGTCGTGGTAACACTTTTTGACATCCGTCTTATATATGGACGTTAGATAGACAAGGGATACCGCACGGTAATAGGTGAGTCGGCTGACTCACCAAAGCCTGAGTCGGTGGTCACAAGAGCGCTAAATCACAAACATCCATCGTAAAGATGGACATTGTATACATCGTACCCTCCATATTGACACTGCACCAAAAAATATCAAAAAAACATATTTTTAATTTTATAATTTTATTTTATTTTTCATATTCATGATCACCTTTGTTAGATGATGAATCCATAAAATAAAATAGATTAAAAATCCATATCTAAATTGGATTTTAGAGGGGAGCGGCATGTGTAGCCGATTCATACAACCCATACTTTCTTATTACGCAGTCTCCTAATAATGATAGTTGAAGGGGGGCCGGGCCGGGCCGGCCTTCAAGTGAAAAGATTTGCTAGGCATTTTTTTGCATTTATTCATATGGGCAAAACCCATAATAGGAGTAACTATTTTGGGGATGAGGGCCACAAGAACATGAGGAGCAACCCCAAAGAAAAACAAATTAAATAGGACTTTTCATGTGCCTGAAAAAATAACATCCCAAAATTGAAGAACTCTTCAAGAGCTTGGTGTTTATCCATCTTTTTTCCGAAAAACAATCATATGATGATACTTAGATGGACCACATAATTTTAGATAAAAAATCTTCCCATGTTACTCGTTTGCCCAAGGGAGTTGTTTTACATTATGCCTTGCAGGAGCATGTTTCATGCGCTCTTAAATCACATGCCTTTGGAAATTGAAGTGGTTAAAATACAAGGGATGGAAACCACGGTCTTATTTGCATTTTAATTTTAAAATCTTTAATTTATTGGAAATTTCAGATGGAGCATATTTAAGGTCAGTTTGGATGTCAAAAAAAAAAACCTTTACATTGAAAAACATTTTAATTTTTTCAACCTTATTAAGAAATATTATCATATTTTTTTATTAGTTCGTTGGACTGTTTGGATGGTGTGAACACGTTAAAATGAGTTTTGCGGAGGGGTGGCGGGAGGCATATTTGTACTCCTCTCACAATAACATACGCTCTCTCCTCATACAAGTCCTACCAGCTCCATTTACAAAAGAGAGAAAATAGTTGCCCCACTGGAAGCTGATGCTGTAGTTATGCAGGCCAACAAGCATGGTGGTGAAGTGGAAATGAGTTGCAACTGACGTCTAGAGAGAGAAAATGGCACCGTGGCCAAAGCCTAAGCCCTAGTTTATGCAACTCTTCTTCCTCATCTATTTTCTTCCATTTCGGACCATACAACTCTTCTTTCTCAGCCATTTTCTTCCATTTTTGCAACTCTTCTTCCTCATCCATTTTCTTCCATTTCTGCAACTCTTCTTCCTCATCCATTTTCTTCCATTTCTGCAACTCTTCTTCCTCATCCATTTTCTTCCATTTCTGCAATTGAGGTCAGGATTAGAATCAAAAGAAAAGGTACGCCGGTTCAGAGATGGGATTTTGTGATTTTTTACAAAGATGGGATTTAGGGTTTTTTACAACCAAGATGGATGGTTTTTTTTACAGAGATGGGATTTGGGGTTTTCCGTTCTTTCAATGTTGAAGCTTGGAGCAAAAGATGGATGTTTTTTACAGAGATGGGATTTGGGGTTTTTGGCTCTTTCGGTGTTGAAGCTTCGAGCAAAAGATGGATGGTTTTTATAGAGATGGGATTTGGGGTGATTGGTTTTTGGTGACTCAAGTTTAGAGAGAGAAAGTAAAGAGATGGGGTTTGGGATTTTGGACGTCTTTGCTGTTCATGAACGGGTGAGAGATGGCCCATTTGAAAAAATTCAACTCTGATTTGAATTTTTTTTATTGTAACTTTTGTCTTGAAAGTGAAAGATTTTTTATTTCAATCTAAAAATATTGGGTTGTCCAAATGGTTCAAATCTATTTCACAAGATTTTTGGATTGCAATTTTGCTTTTTATAAAATTCTTTATATTTTTTACGTCGGGCTAATTGCGAAGCATGGATGTCCAAAACAATCCAATTAAGGTGTGCCTCCAAATTTTATCATAGCATGTAATTTTGGTGTAAATTTCTTAAAATTATCTAAAAAATCTATTTTTATATCTAATTATAAAATTTTAAACTCAAAAAATGATAAAATCAAGTAGATTTATAAACATATGAAAATCCTGAAAATGGACGGTCTAGATATTGTGTTGTAAGATGCACTCTTTTTGGGACTCAATTTTTTTTTTCATATTCACACATCTCGATGTCGATTAGAAGGTTTTTCAACATCATAACAACATTCTATAGATTTTTGAAGTGCATATGTAATTCTAAATTTTAAGGTTGCAACCAACCTTATATAAACTTTTTCCTTATATAAAATCGTAGCCGTCTATTTTCTATTCTTTTAATCTATACTAATGGGGAGGCTTGTGCATCCTTGAAGCATCCCACCATTTGGGCATTATACTTTTTAAGATCGAAAGCATCATTCCAATTACCAGGTTATGATTCATTTAATGGATTCCTAGTATCAATGTTACTTGGAGCTGGTATTCCCAAAGTGCTTCAACAGTGTCGACATCTTCAACACTGGTTTTAATCAAGGAAATTTCCATTAGAACCTCAGCATAAAACTGAGGTAAATTTATATCCAAAAAGAAAAAATCAAACCTCTATAAAGTAGATATTAAGAAAGGAACAACGTATTTTCTATTTTATGCTTAGCTCTTACTATATTTTGTTCTAGCTCAAAATGACCATTGGTTCGGACATCCAATTTCCAAATTGGTAGCTTCTGTTTTTAGTGAAATGCCAGACATTCAATATCTATGTCTAAATCCATTTTTGGTAAATAGGTTAATGTCTGGACCCAGCCTTTCAATTTAAAAAATGATGAGTCAATATATGATGTACGAACCCAATTTTTTTTAATGGAAAGCCAAAGCCAAAGCCAGGCTCAAGTTTCCATTAAAAAAAAGAGAGGTTGAGGTTTGGACACAAAAATTGAAAAGAAGTTAGTGGAAAGTCTGGGTCAAGCTTCCATTAAAAAAAAAAAACAGAGAATTGGGGTTTGAACGCAAAAAGTGAAAAGAATGGGTTCGGACATTCACTCTCTATTCACTTTTCAAAAGAGTGATTATAGGACCACACTTGAACTTTGTCCATTGAATAAAGGAAAAGTACGCAATGAAACTATTTACACTTAAACTTTGTCCCTTAAATAAAGAAAAAGTACGCAATGAGATTATTTACCTTTAGTATAATGGGTCACAATTAATCTTGATTATTGAATGTAAAATTGGGTAGTTGCATTTATTCTATGGACCACGATCCAAAGTTAAAAAAAAGAATTCTCAAAATTTGTGACCCACCCAAACTATCAGATTTCACATTGAATGGTCATAAATAATTGTAACCTCCTTGTACAAAAAGTAAATGATCTCATTATATACAATCTTTGAATAAAATAATCATCTGGTAATTCTAAAGTGGTTCCCATAAAGGGAAAAAAAAAAAAACATTATATATGATGTGCAAGCTTGAAGGAACATCCTATAATAACAAAATTTACACATACCATTTATAAAACGTGAAAGGTGTACATGTGTATGCATTTACTGAGATAAATTCACTTTGATGACCCAAACAAAACCTTCCTCTGATGAGGATGGCACTGACAACAATGGGAGGAAAATGACTATATGCAGGAATGCTTTGCTAAAGAAAGACCTTCAGGAAGCAGTATTTACATGTGCGTGGCCAAATGACCCGATCTTTGACTTGTATGCATGAGTTCCTTTACTAAAGACCTTTAGGAAGCATTGTAAAATAATAAGTACAAGTTAAAGGATGCCAATAGAAAAATGTTCTTGGTAAACTACTACATTGACTCTAAGATTACATATGACAAGCCAGTTATTGCGCAAATGTATATGTTAGGATTAGTGATAGTTAAAATTACCGCATCCATGTTTTCTACAAAAGATAGATAGTATTATGGTAGAAACGAAAGGGGCTTTATTGGAGAGTAAGAAAGAAACATAATGTTCTCTATAAAAGGGGTAAAGAAAATGTAATATTTATCCTTTTGAGGGTTACATCTTTGGGGAAGGGATCTCCAAGGTGGAGATGGGTCTCCAAAGGAGAGACATGACCTCCAAGAGAGAGGTTATTTCCATGGGTTTTAGGTGGGTAAAGTTTTCACTTCAAGAGAGAGAGTTTTTTGGTTTATCTCGAGGTTATCATTTTGGTAATGATATTAAGGTGGGAAATACGACATTGATCAACGGTTTTGCTCAATCAAAAGAGCGAGTTTAGAAGGGAAGATGAGGCACGGTTTTTACCAACTCTTAGATAATAGTATCTCTTGTAACCCAAAATTGTAATACTCATTGTGATAGTGGATTTCTACTTGCCGAGGCTGTGGACGTAGCCTTACAAATTGTAAAACTCATTGTGATAGTGAATTTCTACGTGCCGATGCCATGGACATAGTCTTATAAGGTAAACACGTAAATTGTGTACCGTTGTGTGATTTTAATTTTTACTTTATTTCTTGCGCTGGATTTATAATATATTAATCTATTTCGTGCTTAGTCAATTGTGTACATTATCTTGGGTGGGATCCCGGTATTTGGGATTCCCAATTACGTAAGTGAGGAGTTCCCGAGGACCCTACAATTGGGATCAGAACACAAGGTATGTATAAGACTAAGGTTATATGAAGGAAAATATGAATGGTGAAGTTAGATAGGTGCATGGCTTGAGGTGGAGACATATAGAGGCAAAATGTTTGTAAAAATTTCATAATAGTAGCAAGTGAGAAGAAATTCATAAATTTATTCAATGAATGTAGACGAGGTAAATTTGGTGATTTTACTATCAAGGAGGAGATAATTGACACAATTGACTAAACGGGCTTGGACCGGCCCTAATCACCATAGGGCCGCCAAAGCCTAGCTTGGCCTTGACCGAATTGAGGAAAAAAAGAACAAGCACAGAAAAAGAGGCCCAAACCCGGCCGTACTCTCGGCCGTGATCCTGACCCCGCCCTCAAACCACATTTCATGGCCCAAGCCCTAGTTTTTTAGGGCTGAGTTGACCGGGTTGTGTGGCCCATTGCAACCCCAAGCCAAGATGAGGATTTCCAAAGCCCGAACTTTTTTGTTTTTTTTTCCCAAAAAGTTAATCATGGATTCATGATGTAACCACTTAAAATGTCTTACATGTTGGACAGTGACGATTGTAACTCATCAATGATCAAACAAACATCAATTCAATTGTACATCTAACTCTTCTCCATCTTCATCCCACCCATCGGAAATGACAAACACATTCCCTAACATAGAATAATGACAGATACAATAACATTTTCACATGGATTTGTTCATACGATCAAACAAAAGCTAGCATCCTAAAGTGCTATCACTATCTATCCTATCAAATGATGGAGAGTGATAGAGATTATTTTTTCATGGGTCCGATTCTCCCTTCACCACTGCCTACCAGTAACGGCTAATGCCCTGCATATCCCTTTCGCACCCAATCCGGAAGTTGTTGTCCAAGAAAAGAGGATTCACAAGCAGGTGCAAGCCTTCTCCAATTTATGTGGCTTACTACAACGCCCTAGGATTCTGATCAAAATGGGATTATGAAATTATCCACCTCGTCTAGTTGCTATCATCTCCTCAATATTGACGCTCATCAATATTACACCCTGAGATTAGCGATGTGATCCAAATCGTCGATCCAGATTCTGAATTGGTCGAAAATCAATTATGCAAAGGTATAGGTCCAAACCTGGTTCCCTGCCAATTTCATTTTTGTTTACTTTTTTGTTTAATATATTAAATGTTTTTTATTTAATCTAAATATTTTCTTAAATTCCCTTAAATTCTCACCCCATCAACCCTTCTTTTAATTTTTCTTAATTTTTTAAATATTTTCTAAATTACCAAAGTAGATCAATCCGAATTGCCGTTCTAACGATCCCATACACATATGCAAGGTGGACGATCCACCCCACCGTATGATATTAGAAGATGTATGAGCAAAATGGGATCTAAAGAGATCTGATCTAGAAAGCACAAGTTTGTGTGGCCTTTTCTTACTTCCATGCCCTCTAGCTGAACGATTTGCTTATGTGCATTGTAAGGCGGTTTTCACGCATAGTATGTCCTTCACGTGCCTATCAAACAATCATTTTTTTCTTCCAAACCCTCCTTACCGAAGGATTATATTGCTGCCATGGGAGAGAGGGTTTTTATTATCAATTTTAAACTCCAAAAATGGTTCAAATCAAATAAATCTATAAAGGCAATGGTTCAAATCAAATAAATCTATAAAGGCACGGAAATCTTGAAAATGGATGGTCCACATAATATGTACTATTTTTAAGACCTGAAATCTCTTTCTTCTTGTATCTACACATCAAGATGATTAATTAGATGTTTTTCCAATATCAAAACAACCTTTTTGAAATATTTTAGAGGTACAGCTTAAGGCTACTTTTTAAGATAACGTTATATAAACTTTAGCCAACTTAAATTGATATGTTGTAAGAGGGGCAAATCTCACTCTCTAAGAAAACCTATACTCATACGGTCCAAAAGGTATATGCAACAAGATTAAGTGGCATACAGAAGTCCTGTTGTTGCCATAATCAACAAAAGCTTGTACATCATACAGCCGTCCAAAAGGTCGATGCAACGGCATACAGAAGTCCTGTTGGTGGCATAATCTACAAAGCTTGTGCATCATACAGCCGCAGAATGACAGAGGTAGTAAACCACTCCTTGGCCGACTCGTATTGACAGAGGTTGTAAACCGGTCCTTGGGTGACTTGTATAGATAATAGATACTTGGGGTGTGGTGGATTCTGAGAACTCATCGATCTCAGAAGTGAAAGAAATTTAGATGTTTTGCGGAAGAATATTATAAAGGTTATGATCTTTTTTCGGAAATTAATACCAAATAGACTGTTTTCTTTATTCTTAGGATCATATGAAGCCTAAAAAAAGGAGGCAATTTCTGTAATAGGCGCGGTTCTAGAACAATATAGCCGAGCAGTTGCCAACTAGGGTACCACTGAACAGAGATAGATACCTTCAGAACTTAAAACATTTTTATAGCAAGGTTAGATTGGAGCCAAACTTTGATACACCAACATGCCTAAACCAGCTCTTAGTAATACAGTATAGAAATGAATCATACTACACTAGTGTATATCACTAGGAAAACGCAATATCACTTTCTACACCAAAGTTACTTTCTTCCACAAGTGTAGCTATGTCCTTGATTTCGTACTGGAAGTAAGAGGTAAATTTCCTAGTCATGAATGTGTGCCATGGCATGGTCAAATTTTTTCTCCGTGGCGGCTGCTTTTTTTTTCATCAAAAGATATGAAAAATCATTTAAATGTTACAAATATGAGAATTCTCTCAGATCCCAAAAACATCAAAAATGCCAAACTTTGAGAATACCATCCCAAAAATACGAGCAGCAACAAAATAAAAAAAAATTACAATGCTCGATAATTAATATTGAACAAGCACCTAAGGGTTCTTACCTCTCTCTCTTCCACACTTCTTCAGGGAATAAGTGAGAATAGGGACTACAAAAAGAGGACGCTGCGGCCGTTTTTGCTTTGCTCTCCATTGGGCGGTTGATTGAGTCTAAGAGGTGGTGGCAGTAGTGGCAGAGGACGAGGAATCTGAAAGGGGAGCCACGTACTCTTTGGGTCTCCACATGGATTTCTTGACAACGAGAAGTGCTTCCTTGTCCTTGGTGTAGGTTAGGCGCACGTCCCAGTGCATTGACTTCAAAATCTTTTCCACTTCTGCAACCGTGTCCCCAGCGTCTCGCACTATCATCTTCCCCTCTGGTCTCAGTATCCTGTCTGCTTCCACCAACACTCCTTCTAAATTGCACCTGCGTATAATTCCCCATTCTTCCATAAAAAAGCCCAATGTAACTCCAAAATCTCAGGCAATAGCTGCCATAACACATACATGCAAGCATACATATATAACATACACACACAAACAGCCAACATAACACACAAACAAACATACACATTTAGATTCATACATATATTCCACTGGTTACTTCAAACTGTTTAAGGATATAACCAGGTAATCCTCACACAACTACAACAAAAAGCAAGCAATAACAATAGGTCAAAAGCCAAATGAGGGCATAACATTCATATTCAGGACCAAATCTATGGAAGGTGCAGTTATGTTACTTAATGATTTGAAAGAACCAGAAATTGAATCCAGTTATAAGTGATAAATCCTCACAGGAGCTCACAGAACTGCATTCAATTTCTGCCAGAGGTGAAAAACTTGAGCAACTTTGGGGAAGATGTGGCATTCCAGCCATGAGGACAATTTTGAACAGGATTACAAAAATTGCCAAAAGGAAATCAACACTCACCAAGAGGATTCTGCTTAAGCAGTGTTTGTTCATTTCAGAAAAGCTTGGAGCAAAAAGAATGAAAATGATGATTACTGTGCAAAAGCTCCACAAAGCTGAGAGAGAGAGAGGTTGAGCTTCATAAAATAAATTATTATCTGGACTATGAGTACTACAGATATAATGGAGATTTTTCTTTCTTTTTTTTGTTCTTTGGGCGTAATCTATTGAAAAATCAATGAGTACCTTGTTTTGAGCTTGGAGAAGAGGTGATCAGCATGGAGGAGGTCATACGTTCTGGGATAGGTGCTGAAAGACTCACACCAGTCATGGTATATACCAAAGAGACCCCGCTCATATATGATGGGAAGGGTATCAGGTGAATCAATGGGCACCACATTCATCACCCACACCTGTATGTCCCTCAGAGCTGCAGCAAATCTGCCAAGTAACAAATGAAAGCACCATGGTTATCCAACAAGTCAATGCCTGAATCATAACTCAGTCACCAGCAATCAAGTTGTTCTAGAAACAATGGTAAAGTAAAATCCACCAAACAGAACAAAAAAAAAACAAAGGGAGCTAAAAGTGGATAAAGGCCCTATGAGTTTACCATCAAAAAATTACAATCTAGTTTACTGAAATGAGAAAAGTCCCACTTGCCACTTCTTTGGGAAAAATATGGCCACCATTCCCCCCATTATTGATACCACAGGCACAAAGGCTCTCTGGATCATAGGCAACATGGTTTCAGGCTTTGAGCTAACCAAGCTTCCCACAGAAAGGCTTTTCAAACATTAAAAAATCACAACTAAGCCCGGATTTCTAAACATATCCTAGCTGTCTGAAATTTGGTTTGAAGTCAATCTGAACCCACTTTGTAACTGTTGCATAGTTTTAAGGAGTGATCATTTAATAAGCATAGCATGGTTAATCATAAGCCAGATTGGTTCCTTTCTGGCACACTTACCCTCCATAGACGGCTCTCATGTCCATGACATTCCTTACTTTGGACCAGCTGATTCCTAAACCATTCAGATACGAATTGCTCACGACCCGTTTCCAGTGCTTATAGTCTACTGTGAAATCCTCTGCTGCTGCTTTTCCATAGACCCCAACCTGGGAACTGTTGAGCCAATAAGGTGGTTTCTCCAGTCTCTGAGGCCATGTCTCAGGCCATCGGGATCCCCTCTGTCCCTCATCCGTTGGCACCCTATGCATGCACGCCTGCAGGGGCACATACCTGATATGCAGCCACACACAAGGTCTAATTTAGCTGCAAATCAGTGCAAAAGTTTCCCTATTTTCCAATAATTACAAGTTAGACTACTAATCTTCAGGCGCTACACCACATTCCAATCTATTATGCTAAGCCACATCCATTGGGGTCAGCACCATATGCTGAAATAAAGAACAGTGATGGAGAGAGAGAGGAACCAAACAGAACAAGGCATGATCACAAGGTTGGCCCACTTCTTCAATGCCATCCAACATTTTGGATCGTGATTACCTGAGTGGATGATGGTTTGCTTTCCAAATTCCAATATGAGAGTATTTCTTTTTTCTTGTGAAAATTATATAGCACATCTCTTTGTTTATTTCTTTGAATTAAAAAAATGAAATCTACCAACCAAGCTGCATTTGGATCATCAGACTCCTGGCATAGCGGAGGTTCATTCTTCTGCCTAGAGTTGTAGCATTCATTTGACAAGGGCTTCTGAAATACTGCAGCACCAACTTCATTTATTTTATCCTTGCTCCTGACCACCATCTTCCAGCACATGGACTTTGTCAATGCAGCCATGGCTGTGACCAAGTAGAGTCTACATGTTAAAATCTCATACATATGTAATGTTCACATTAACACATACTTGCAGAAAGATATGCCATTGTGTGCTTTATTGGCCTGCATCTGCGATCATTCAAAATTAAAAGGTATGCCCATTTTCAAGGTAAAGGTGGTGCAATTTACCATTCCAGATCCCAACATCTTCTTCCAGCTTCTGGTAAACAGGGGTAGCCGACCACACAAAGTAACCCCCAGGACGCAACACCCTATTTAGCTCTAGTAGAAGTTTACCACCTGCATGTGAATGTAATACAGTGCCCATGTAAACATGTAATTAACCACCCAAAGCAACGGTTAAGAATCCAATCAACATAATCCTATAGTTTAGAAGGGAAACAGTACATAACCAACAAGAAGTACAATCTAATACACAATGGAAAAACTACAGCGCATAAGTGTCATCGCCATCCCCAGAATAAGACATGACTCGATGGTAAAGTCCCACTGCATCTCCATCACCATCAATCATTTCATTGGACAGCCAATGGTCTATTATGATGTTCCATAGCATCTATTATAGTGTTCCATAGCCCATTGGATCTAATATAGAAAGCCATACAGAAAAGAAAGTACTACTAGGTCTACTTAGAGATCCAAATTTGTCCCTGCCTTCACAAGTTCAAACCTGTTAAAGAGTTATTACCTTCAATGTGCCAAGGGACCCTACAGCGTGCACAGTGGACAACATCAAAGGCTCTGCTTGGGAATGGAAGCCTCTGAGTTCCCATAACAGCAGATATTCCAGGGATCCCTCTCTCCAACGCAAACTGCACCTGGGCCTCATGCTCATCCTTGGGAGCAAAGGACATGGTGAGCACATCCCTGTCGAATAGATAACCACCAAAGCTCGCAACCCCACAACCAACATCCAGTATCACACGGCTCCTTTTGCCCCAAGCTATGTCAGGAACAATCTGCATTCACCACTGAATTTGTGAGTAAAAAGCACACAAAAGGTAGTAGAAATATTCCTATTAACAATCTTGCTATAGCTATAAAGGAAAATAGGAAGTCAAATGAAAAACACCTAGCTCAAAAGTACCTGCCACTCCAGGGTTTAGACCAAGGAACAACGAAGACCAAGTTGACATCTAATCAAATTTTAAGAAATAAGGATTTGGTTCCTTGGGTGAGCATGTGCATGCACATGTTCAAGCATCTAGGAGATAATCAGGTTTTATGGGCACTAAGGATTTGGTCATACAGGTGAGCTTTTCCATGAGAATGTTCAAGCCTCTGGGTAATAGAATATGTCTCACAATGTTACTCGCACAATTTATTGACAAGATGAAGGCAGAACACTTGCTTTTTGAAGACAAACTTCAGCCAATCATGCAGTGACAAACATCAGATTGAGGCGTGACATTGCTGTCACTTGCAGATGCTCTCAGCAAAAACAAATATCAAATGTTGACATAGGAATCACAAATGTTTCAAGAATATAAAATTTAGATCTGAACAACCGTACAAAATTCATATTTTCTATTCCACACATTTTCGGCTGGATCCAAACATGATACAGCAAAAATTGTTTAGTTTAAAATTGAAAAATTACGACAAAAATTTAATACAACCAAGGATGAATGAAAAGATGAGCACATTAGAATTTCGGCAA